TTGCTGTCACTAGTTTTCTGTAGAAGGGAGTAAACTATTTGTCTACAAGAGATTTCTTCCTAGTTCTGGAGTCAGGGAAGTTAACAGAAAAACAGTACCCCTGGAGTGAGATGACCGCAGATTTGTCAAAAAAAGGATAAAGTGAAATTTTATGTAAATTAAGCTCATGGATCTGAGTGTGAAGAAAGAAAAACAAGAGATCAATAGCAAAGCTCTCAGAAATACTTGATTAACAAGTAACAAAGTCTGGAGGAAAAGTGAACATAAAACATCTATTTTGCAGAAAAGAAAAATCATAAAAGGCTTTCCTTCATTTACTGATGGCTGCAACTAAATGACAGAAATGCTTTTTAAAAACACGTTAATAAAAAACACTTACTTTGTAGATTTACCATTGGATGAACTGCTACACTTATGGAATTAGAGGAATAGACACAAGGGGTGATATAAATACACTTTTGATGAGTATCCGTAAGAAAAGTAATTTTCTTTTGAATTCTGTATATGCTCTCAACACACTATTGAGTTCAGCAAATTATGAAAACTCACAGAAGGCACACTGAGATAATGAAGACATTCGGAGAGATGTTACTAAACAAAGCATGTTCCTTACTTCCCATCAGCTCGAGGCTGGAAGTGCTCAGAAACAGATGCCAAAAAGATCTTTTTTCCAAAATTGAATTTAACAAGAAGAGATCTAGGTAAACTGTCAGTACTAATTTAGGTGCAATATTGTAAATTTTTATCTTTTCATTGTGGTCTCAGTGAGCTGCAAAATTTTGAAAGAATTCACAAGCTGATAAAAACAGAGTGAGACAGGTGAACTTTTGCTGTACAAGCATTAGTCTAGACGCTTCAAAAGTAACATACCAGTGGGCTACAGTATGTTTCAGTAAGTGGTTCCTTCTAAACTAGAAAACTCCATGTGTTTAAGAAGTTTTCAAGAACATCATATTAGTGAAGTTTTATTACTTGATTCAATGTGTTGAGCATGTCAAAAAAAATCTGTATCACAAATACATGATAAATGGGAGAGAGTATGTAAAATGAACACATCTAAAAAGAAAAGAATAAAATAATCAGAAAATTTTCCTTGTGTATCCTCATGCATTTATTACTGTACTGCTTATGCTGCCTAATTTGGACCTCATTAATTTGCTGACAAAAATCTTAAGAAAAAATTAACGTTAAAATATAGAATGATTCCAAATATATCTTAGTATTGTTTTAATTATCTAGGTTTTATCTATTATATAAGTAACACAATTTTTAATCAATGGCATTCCTCAAGTTAAGTTTTTAGAGACTATGTGTGTGCATGCATGCTCACATGCAAGTGTGAGGGGGTCCAGACTTGTGGGGTGCATGTGTTGGTGCATGTGCAGGTTGACATTGTGTCTTCCGCTATCACTTCAGTGCCTCTCGCTGAACCTGAAACTCATCAATTTCCCTAGATTATCTGGCCATACAGAGACATGGGTGTCCCAGCCTCACCACTGCCAGGGTTTCTTCCATGCCTACATTTAATTTGGGTGCTAAGTTCCTGTTCTCAGGCTGCCCTGCTTGCAAGACAAGCATTTACGCACTGATCCATCTTCTCATCTCTGTGGTTAAATTATTTCTGTTTCTCATTTCCCGAGACTAGCCAGATTGTTTCAAGTAATGGATTGTGTCATTTGAAGGATGAAATTGCTTTAAATAAAATGTCTATAATTAAAAACATATCCTAAGAATCCTTATGACAAAAGTGCAATGTCATTTCTTAATCTCCAGAGAATGTCTTTTCCCATTTTAAATTGGTGAAAGCAATTATTAATTTTAGCTAAACGTTAAATTGGTGTTTTAGGATTTTTATTGCTGTAATAAAATGTAAAGTGAAACTGAACTAAAGGGAAAAGATTCAGGTAAATCTAGGTAATATATCTATTTCTAACTTATACAGTTTTGCCACAAGTATGAACTCCATAGTTTTGTAATGTAAGTAGGAAAACACAGGTCAGACAGTGTTTGTGACTAGGGAGGTAGTGATAGATGTGACCAACCGGATGCCAGTTGTTTTAAGTTCCATTGAATAAACAGATCATGCAGAACTTTGTGTATGTTTTTCTATGCCGTAAGAAAGAATATGTGACTCGTTTAGATTGCCACTTCAAAGTGAACTTCATTTTCACTGTATACAAGCACCTTGTAACCTTTTTCTTCAAAGGTTAATATAGCTTAATAACAAAACAAAACAAAAAACATCCACTATCAGCGGTATTAGACTGGCATGGAGAATGACATTTGTGTCCATCTTGCGCTTTTCTAATAATTATTGCCTAAATTGCACTCAATAGACATTTTTAGAAGCTTTAAAAAATTACTGAATATATAGCTACTTTCCTAAACATCAAATGTATATTATACTCATTAGAAAACTAAATGCATAGTTAACAAAAGTAAAACAGCAACCTCAATAATTATCAAAACATTCTGATTAAAGCAAGTAATTAGCATCAGTTTTTAGCTTTTTTATTCACATGAGGGATGTGGTGTTTAATTTAGAAGATGAGACTATTTCCATTCCTGATGAAAAATGACATAATATTAAACCATTTCACCATATGATCAGGAATGGTCAGGAACAGCTTGAGTGTATAGTGTTTACTATACTAACAATAAAATTGACTCTGTCTATTGAGTCTGGGTCAATATGAAACTTTAAGGGTGAATTTCTGAGTCTTCCATAACACAAATCACTAAAATACTAGCATATTTTAAAAAGGAGAAATTCATAATGCTTAAAATTCCAGGGTGAATTAAGTGCATTATAAAAACATTTTTCTGTTTATTCTCTACTTGGGGTCACACTTCAATTCAAACACTAAGGATTTAGAACAGTATTAGTGAGCTAAAATCGATAATGAAGTACATAGACCATAATTAGAGACTAATTTGATTCAATAGACATGTTTGATCAATATGCAACCAAATTTAAATTTACAAGGTACAATAATAGATCCTTTTATTTGATTGTGTTAACACATATGCTTATGAAACCAAAGATCCTTGAATTCAGGCTTCTAAATGAGAATAATAGATTTATACAAAATAGACAATTTTGCACTAAAATAGGGACGGTGTTGTTATTAATTAATAAATATGATTACTATGGCCATTATTAAAAACAAAAACTACAGAGTTATTAAAATGCTTTCTTATTTGTAACAAATTCCAGTTTTATACAGAAGTGTAATTTGCCAAGTATTGTATTCATTAATATTATAAAATGGGAGTTGCCTTTTCATTATCTGTGTAGTGAATTTACCTGACAATATGTCCTTAAAGAACATACTAGTATTCATTTAAAAGTATATACTTCAATTCCTTAAGATCCTATATCCTTTGATTTTTTTTCTTTAAATTGCTGGTAATCATTTTCTAAAAAGCATGTTTCATAAATTACACAAGACAAGGTGAGATTATTCATATTATTTTGGGAACATTATATTTTTAAGAACAGTTTCAACTCTATAATTCAATTTGAGAAGACCTCATCAGAGTTCACCTTTATAAAATTTGATTTTTGTTCTCTTTCAGTAAGCTAGAATGTTTGAATATGTTTCCTTTTGGATCTTAAACTTTAATAATTTATATACTTATGCTCTGTATAGTATAAATAAAATGAAGGCTAAACAGATATTAGTGATTCATAAAAGGCATAATTAGCAAGCTCTGCAATACTAAAATAGTGTATCTTGTGGAGTCAACGGTGTTCTTGTGTAATTTGAGAATCTGAATACAATCTTTTATGAAGCACAACATGGTCACTATTGTCCTCACTATTTATAAATCTCAGGAAGACCTCAGTTTAACACTTGCCTGCTGTTATTTTCCTACATTAGAAGCCATGGCGTCAGTAGATTTATTATGTGATTTTTGCATTACATGGTCTTAATATATGTTATATATTACATTTATATAATCAGTTTGTTTTCTTTTCTTCAAGTCTTTTTAATCTTTCCTATGTTATCAGGTCAGTGGAAATGATACATTTCCAATGTTTCTCAATCTATATTTCTGGTTGATGACCCAACGAATAGTTTCCTGATATTAAAAGATGAAAGAATATATCAATGCAATAGAATTTTCAATACCCGGTAGATTTCGCTTTTTGATTAAGTTGAAGAACTGAATTATAAGTAATTTTTATCCATTAACTAAAAGCAACTGATGTCATGGAGAAGATATTAAATGGGATAATTTGCTTATCAAGATCCTCAAAAGGAAACCTATCATAGAAACTCCAAACAATTTTTATTGGTCATATGGCTGTATAAGATAATCCACCTGGAGAATACAGTTTCTATATTGAAGTAAGGGTCATATTGTCTGTAGTCTTGATACTCTAAGATCATTTCTTCCTCTATCACACAGTATCTCTGGCTCTGATTATGGACTCGAGTCCTTACCAGCAAACCTCTTAATTTCTAGTGAAAGCTCAATATGAAGTCTACACATCCACATTACTTTCTAAATTTTGTCTAATGTGTTTAACTTCATTATGATAAAACTGCAATTAACTTATCATCCTAGTCAATATCAACAGGAAACATGAGACTACACCCGAGGAGCATAGCTCAGCAGTACAGTGCTTGTCTGGTACATGCAAGTCCCTCAGTTCCATCCTCGAAATCCCTTACAGTCCCTGAAAGGACTCCGCCTTTGATTATCCCTTCAAATCACAGAGAAATCATGTAAGCAAGAATTCCCCACTCTAGGGAAATAAAGAACATCTGAAGATACTTTTCATAAAAGCCAAGCCCGTGTTTTGTTGTAAATACAGCCCTAACACCAGAGCCCACCTTCCAGCCAACTGTATCAGTTCTCCATTCTAGAGTTCTGCCTAAACCTAAAAATAATTTTCATCAACATTTCTAGGAACTCAAACTGTTTTCAGCAAAAAGAATATGGACCTTTACTTCTTACGAGGAACTATTTTGATGTAAGTTGATACTTACTCAAATATGGTGGTTTGTAAGGCGCTCGTGTATTAGACAGTAATCCATCCAGCTCCTTCCTCTCCAGGGTGCCATGCAGGGCCTTCTCTTTGCCAAAGGTGGAGAAGGACCGCTCTGCTCCAGGCTGCGCTTCAGGAGGTTCAAAGACCTCGGTGTCTGGAACTGAGTCCATGCCGGGGACATGCAGGTTGCTGCGGTAATCTGCAGCCTGGCGTCCATCCGAAGGGACGAATGAAGGCATCCAGCATCGGTCTGAGTGGCCCAGCGCTTTACATTCCTCGGTGCAGTTGGAGAAGAGATCCATGCCTGGAAAAAGAGCAAATCGTAGAAAGGAAAAGGGAAGAGACGAGAAACTCCAGATGTTGTCAGCATGGGCATCAGTAAAGTGGGGAAATGCCCACAGGAGGTAGTGGTGGGTGAAAACATTTTACTAAGTTTTCTCCTAATCCGGTGAAAACAACACCAAAAAGTCTCTTAATATCATTTCCCCTATCTTTTAAAACAGGATAAAGGATCTGTAAACATGAAACACGTGGCAAAGAAGTCCCACAGGCAGTTTATAAACTTAGAATATTGGTGGGAAAACAATGCTGGCTGCCAGCTTCTTAAAAGTTGAAGAAATGGTGAATGGATAAATACTATTTGAAAAATCTCTCTTGGGCTGATAATATAAAGAAATCCCAGCTGTGGGGGCTTCTTAATCTACATCCTCTAACAGTGCATCTGCTGATGTTCCTACAAACACAGAAAGGGTATGCCAATCTCTGACAACAGCTAGACTACAGACTTTAGATTTCAAATGGTAGGTGAAATTCAACAGAAATTCAGCCTAAATTGACAAACGGCCAATGGCAAGAATTCAGTTCATTTTGTAAATAAGGAAGAGCATGGTTCTTAGTTTCCTGGGGAATGGCTTCCTAAAGGTATCCGGCACTGGAACTCGGGCAGTCTGTGTGCCTATAAATTGCTTATTATTTACCACTTGCAGAAACCAAAAACAAATGACTACAATTAGTGTAGCCAAGGTAACCAAATGCAGCGAGAATCCACTACAGATAATATTGACATATTCCTTAGTGCTTATCTGTATTGTAAATGGTTGTCCTAGTCAACACAAACTTATATACCACGATTGAAAATGACACTACAAACTTTATCACACTCATTACGCTAACAAGACTGTTAAATGTGATTGTGATCAAGAAAGTACATCTAGTTCTTGAATCATGTACAACAATTTTGCATGTATTACATGTGTGTGCATGTTCATACGTGCAGATGTGTGCAGACCTGCATGTCACTACTTTTATATGCATGTGCATTTAAGAGATATCATTCCACCTGATGCTGGTGGCACACGCCTTTAATCCCAGCACTTGGGAGGGAGGCCGAGGCAGGCAGATCTCTGTGAGTTCAAGGCCAGTCTGGTCTACAGAGTTCCAGGGCAGCCTCCAAAACAATACAGAGAAGCCCTATCTCTAAAAACAAAAACAAACAAACAAAAAAACAAAACAAAAGAAAAAAAGAGACGTCATTCCTCAGATGCCACTGACTGTTGTTTTTGTTTTTTTCCTTTTTTTTTTTGTTTTGAAGTAAAGTCTGTCACTGAACTGAACCTTGCCTTGCCTCGTAAGCTGTGGCTGTCTGGCCAGCAGCACTAAGGTTTTGCCTGTCTCCACTTCCCCTGCACTGGAACTGCAAATACCATCACATCCAATCCAGCTATTTGTACGTGTGTTCTTGGTTGTTACTCCTGAGGCTTCAAAGACAAGCACTTGACTGACTCAGTTATCTCACTAATCCAACCAGTTCTGAGAGCTGTGGAAGAGTATCTAATATTTTTTGTTTCATTTGTTCTGATTTTTGAGACAGGGATTTGCTATGTAGTCCAAGCTGACCTAGAGCTCGCTAAGTAGCCTAGGCTAGTTTGAAACTCTGAACTGTCTGTCCTGCCTTGATTCCCAAATACTGGGATTATGTACCTTCAGCTGCCACCAGCCTGATACTCTCGTTTGGTATAGAGCACAACACAGAAGAGAACGTAGACAAACATATCATTCCAGTGCTTTCTAAACATGCTAATACCTTTATTGACTGTTTTGAGTACTGGTAAACCTTTCCAGTGTTTTAAAATTATATCCATTTTCTTCTTTGTGTGTGTACATACTATGTCACATGTGTGGAGGTTGGGTCAGGTGACAGTTTCCATGGATGGCTTCTCTCCTTGCACTATGTGGTTACTAGGGATGGAACTCAATTCATCAGGTTGAGTTGCAAGAACCTTTCCCCACTGAACCATCTGCTAAGTACAATTATGATTAGTTTCAAATAACTAAAGCATTATTAGTTTATATCATAAAGTCTTTCAAATGTATGAAAAACTGGGATTTTATAATTAACAGAACATTTATTTAATGAGTACACTTCAGTCTTAATTGCACGAATATCTAGAAATCTCTTGCTTTCAAAGAAGTTTTAATGTTTCAACTAATGTGCTGTGTTACACTTGATTTAAAGGAAAGTGTACTTGAAAAATATTTACAAAGGGCAAATATTTCAAAATAATGAAACTTGTACAATTTCTACCATTTTTTGAGTCAAAAACCATTAGCTCCAAAAAAGTTACTTCTTGAAGAAACAGCACCAAATTAATTACCATATGTTAATCGCACTGCATAATGACTTTTCAATTTAATAAAATTTATGTATAATCCTAAATCCATCTTTGGTTATCATATCCTATTGATGATTTCCATGTACAAGCCTGAAAATGAATTACTAATGGGTAATCTCCTGAGGAATGTAAATACTGAAGCTGCAATTCAGAATCTGACTGGGAACAGAATGGAGATCCTGGAGGTGTTTCACTACACTCTAGACAAATCCTTTTTCTGCAAGAAAATATGCATGCCAAACAAGGTAGAGAACATCCCTAATACAATCTCATATGGTGTATAGCCAGCAACCCAGGAACAAGACTTACATTTGGATCCATTGGTGGTCAATTTTATTTAGTGATGGAAGGAAGAAGGCTGTTGTGTACCACATAAGACACATTTAAGAAAAAAACATGATTATGTGTATTTATTTTTAAAATAAATCTGAGACAATAATTTTAAAGAATTATGAACCATTAAGTTCAAAATATTAATGTAGAATTCTCATATTTGATTATGGAAAGATAGATGATAAATGCATGATTTTCCAATTAATAATATTTTCTTCATATGATTGATGCAAATAATTTTAAATTGGGCAAATAGGACATCTGAACCATATGAAAGTCCAGCCATTTATAAGTTTTATGTATTCATGTCCAAGCATTTGCTGGACATTACTGTCACCTCATTAGTAAACCAATATGCCAGTGTTAAGACAGTTCTTGATATTACCAGAAGGTATGTGGTAGAAATTACTTTATATTTATTATATATTTAGTTGTACATGTATTTTATCTTGCAAACTGGCATTTTTTTCTACATCTCCTAACTACTAGAATTTTTTTTTAATTTCTTGATGTTATACAAAAAAATTGTGTGCACTGACTGGGAATGGATAAAAAGTATGCATAGCATGTTATTAACAAAAAATAAGGAACATTGAAAGCTTGGTACAAAACAATGTCACTTGACAAAAGAGAAAAGTGGTAAGCAATGTTTTAAATAAATGTATGAGCCTATAGAATGGAATTTTCTTGGAAATATTATATATCATTGTATATAAGTGAATGGAAGGTGAGATCTCTCATATAGGGCCTGAGTATTTCACCAGTTTTATCAATAAAACGAGTGAATCTATTTCTCATGAGGAAAATCAGTTACAGAAATGAAAATGAAAACCACAGCATAATCAATAAACTTCAAATAAGGAACAGAGAAATTAATAGAAAATAGACTCTTTTTTTCATTTGTCATTTAGATAAATAGTTTGAGAATGAAATAAATGTATCCCATTAAGGGTCCTCACACAGGGGAGCTGTGAGATGACTAACAATGTTCTTTCATCATTCATCATTAGTCACATTGCCTGTGTAACTTTAATTACCAAATACATAGAAGAGCCTTTAACTTTCTTGTGAAAACCTGACCACATCACAGAAGATGTGATGCAATTCAGAGCATCCACACTGATCTGACTAGGTCTTACAGCTCAAATTGAAGGCTCAAGATTTAATAACTTTAGCTTATAATTTTTTTCTTTAGAATGCATTTATGATTAAATTTAGGTCATTTGTAGAGACATGAAAAGCATAGGACGTATTTTTGAAATTTTGATAACAACTACAAGATGTCTTAAGATATATATTTTTTTTACTGCAATCACTATTTCCAGCCATTTCTTTCCGGTCCTCAGGAATCAGCTATTTTGCAATTATGACAGACAATATGAGGGACTGAGTGTTTTACAAAGATGGACTCAGATAAATTTTAGGATACATGTATCTTAAATGTATCTTTCATGTATTTTAGACAATATCTGTAGATGGTTCTGCTGAGAAAAGTTATGATTAAGAAAATTAGAGGTGCATCCAATTTGTGTTCCTTTCTCGTAATTTAGGACATTACTTCTTTCTACTCAAACTACCAGTATGAGAAAACAGATTTAAGAAAACAAATTTCATTTTTGAGATAAATTCCAGTCATCCCTCAAAGCATCCCAAAGTATGTTATAGATATTAACTGCAGTTATAAGGAGGTTATAATTTTTAGGAATATGCTAGGGTCAGATATTTATCATCTCTCCTTAACTATAAAAATGACATTAAAATTTTATTCCTTCCTATCACCTTTCAAACTGTTCATAGGTCTCTCAATTTTCTCTCAGTATTTTCTATTTTCCATTTTTCCAATTATAAGCCTCCTCTCATTTTTAAATTGTAGCTCATAGACTCATCAGAAACACAAACAAACTTTTGTAGCCAACTGGCATGAATTCCCTGTATCTATAAGGCAAAGATTTTTGTTGTTTCATCTTGAATCTTACTGGAATTAAGAAAATGATATTTATACATCATGAAAACGAAGAATGTCCTTGAAGATGCTGTAGCTGCCCAATAGTTTGATGTAATGCATGATGTATTTTACTTATTTTATTTAGAAAATTTATAATTCTAGCTATTTAATTTTTAAATTTACATTCAATAGTTTACCATGTATGATAAATAAATACCTTTAATTATTTTAACAAAATATTGTAAACCAATGCTGGCAATTTCTAGTATATCTTTTGAAAGGGAAAGGCATTAAAATAAATTCACAACTCTTGTACAAGTTTCATAGCACAGGCATTTAATAAAGACCTATTTCTTACAACAAAATATATTTGTGAAAATACACTTCAATAGTGTTACTAATGTTTAAAATCATATAGCTAAGATGCTATACCCTTATTCCAAGATAGAAAAATAAATCTCTTAACATACTGACTGATTAAAGTAGCCCAGAAATATGTTTTATTAAATCTACTTTTTAGCCCTTTGGCTGCAGTTAATCCTTTTTCCCTCTTGTGATAGCTCAAGCAAGCCCTCACCACATCTAGCTGGACCTCTGCCATGTCTAACCGATACGTCAATAGTGCAATGAAAAAAAAAATGGAAAGCACCTTGACAAGGCTAAAGAAAGCACAGAGCTACAGAACTGTGGTCAAGCCCAGGAATCTTGTGCATGGAGCCAGGTGCAGTGAGCAACTGAGAAAGCTCATGTGACTCTCTGCAGCTGCCTTCGTGTTCGCAGCCTTTCTGGGAAGAAGGCTTCAGGCTGCTGAAGGCTTAGACAGCAGAAGAGCAGGACAGAGAAAAATAAAGGACAAAAACCAGGAAGCAATTCAGGAAAGAACAGATAAATGTTGTATGGAACTAAATAAGTATAAAGTACGGTTACCACAGAAAAAGAGAAGAAGTAAAGCAAAAAATCAGACAGTTTGAGCAGGTGAAAGCGTAAGCTACATTGTGTACTAGCAAGAGACACAAACTAAAAGGTAGAATTTGGGATTTTTAATCTTTCCGCTTTTACTGTGATCATTTTACATTTTCTCTTAACATTTTTAGTGAGATTTGTCTAATTACCTAATTTTGTAACTTTGGAAGATCAATGTAAGTTGCCTTTACCAAGAAATAAATCACAAGTTTTTTTTTTTTTTTGGAGCAAACTTCACTTCTGAAATATTTCTGCTATGTACTGGAAGGAACACAAAACAGTAATATGAACTGAAAAACATCACTTAGTAAAAGGCATTTTAATTTTATGCATTCAGATTCCTACATTAAAAACACTCAGAATACTTCTTAGTATAAAATTAAGCATATGACAACTGATCAATTCAACACGAAGGTGCAATTACTTCTCACTGTAAGTGCTTTCTTAAAACTTCAAAACAGCAATTATTGCACCCAGTATATTGTGTCTGCCCTGTAACCACTGAACTGTATAAATGGAGTGGTAATTCTATAACACTTTTACCCATTTAACAACTTAGATATGGGGGCAAAAAGTTCAGCACTTTGATGATGAAAACTAAAAACTGCCTTGCGTATTTAAAATGCATTGCAGAACACATTTTTGCATTTTAATGGCCCTTAAAAGGATCTGAAATCCCAAATTCTTTGAAAGAATCATTAACAAAATGGCAACACTGTTTGTGTGAAATAAAATAGCTACCATGAAGACATGGTAACAGGAATATCTAACAGATTTAGTCTTCCTTGAGAAGGTTTTTCCATTCCTCTCCCTTTGCATTGATTATTAGGCTCATTATGAATGTCTAAGTGACTAGACTAAAATGCTCAAAGAGACTGGGTGCTACTTAAATAAAAAGAAAGAAAAACACAAAAGCGAGTGGGTGGGAAAGAAAAAAACACATTCGAAGTAACATGTAGCAGCTTTCTTTTTCTTGCATTGAACGTTTTTGTTGTAAAAAAGGCTAGGGTTAAACTAGAAACTGAGGGAAAAATAGAAATGAATAGTTCTAAATGTACAGTTTTTAGGTGATAACAATAAATCATATACCACATATAGGGCAAAAATGAAAGGGACTTTGTACTCACATATAAACTGCTGGCAAGGTCTGGTTTGTTGTCAGGATCCCAGACACTAAATAGATGCTCTGTTCACTTAGCGTGAAGGCCCGCAAGGGGCAGGGACCTCCGGGGATTCTTGGCAGTTCTCAAGTCTCATTAGGTCTGCATATTAATGACTTGCAGCAATATAAAGAGACCCTTGAGCAGCCTCTTTTCCCTTTCCTCCTGCCCGGGTTTCCCAAGACTAAGCGGTCACAGACAGAGCCCACATTAGCCAACTGGGAGGCTTGTAACAACCACTGCTGCCAGGTCCTACGGGGTGTGCATTGCCCTTTGACACACTGCCTCAGCACCATTCCCAGGGCTACCAAGTGTTTTAAGGAACGAGTACTCTCTAGGACTAATATGACCTTGAAAATAAGGAACTCTATCACTTTACAGAAGAAAATCGAGGTCAAGTATCAAGAGAGCTAAGTTTCACCCAGAGGTAGCCAAGTGATGGACATTTTTCAAATGTTTCAAGAATTCCCTAGACTTTCCATTTCCTCGTGTGTCAAATAAACACAGAATTAGGAAGAAAGAGAATTCAGCAAGTATCTTGGCTGAAATCCAAATGGAAGTGAGGAAATCAAATAATTTTATGAAATTACTTTTATTTTAAGGTATATGGTTTATTCCTTATGAGTTCTTTTAGTATTCATAATTAGTATGAGAATATGCTACACATTATCAAAGGTCAAACTCATAAAGTGAAATTTGAAGTAAAATTCACTTTAAAAGTTATACTGTTTCAAACTGCCACCTGTGACCATTAGCTAGCCCACAGATTAGCCCACATAGGCAAATGCTTGAGTTCAAAATTTAATGGTTGTCAAAAGTACAAAGAGATCAAAGGTGTTTCAGCAATACTAATTACAAAGGATTGGGAACTAGACCCTCAACTTATTTGTGACTTTTAAACATCATTTCTTCTCCGGTGATACTTGTGTAAATTGCAGTTCTTTGGAAGGCAAGGAGTTTGAATTCTAGGGCTCACTCATGCATTTATTTTTCTCTTGCCCTTGTAATACTCAATAAGTTAATTTATCTCAGTTACCACTCTATAAATAGGCTTAATAATACGGTAAGTGTTTAAAGACAACGAACTGAACTAATAGAGGTAGGTGGCTACCTATTTGTGACATAATCCTATTAAAAAAGAACATTGCACAAGGAAAGAATTCTTGATAATTGTAAACAATTCCTATCCTGGACACTCCAAAGTGAAAAGTAACACTTTTCATAGTCTTCTTTTAAGCATACAATGACCAACAGAAGACAGATCATTACCTAAGCCATTATCCTTTGGAGTTGCATTTAAATAAACAGCTACAGAATGGGCATTTAAATGGCTGTTGGATCACACTTACCAGCTGACTGACCACGATTGGTGACGTCATGATCACTGTCTCCCTGTTCACTGTCTCCATGACCACTGTCCTTAGAGCTTACAATGTCAGCTTCCTGGAATGCAGAACTAGAAACACAAAAAGGAGAATATTGAAATATTTTTAAAAAAGAAAGGTAAAGAAACACAGAAAACATTCTTCTGCCACCACATGGTCACAGAGGTGTGCTGCAGACTCTTGCAACTCTTGTGTATCTCTATTTCCACTTGGGCCTCATTTTTTCCACTTAAATCTCAGAGCCTTCATGGTCAATTGGAACATCAAATACGAAGTTGGACATTATTCTATGACTAGAGCTAAGTGCATGTCTATGACATAGTCATGATATATATGAGCACATATATGGAAAAGTGGTGGAAACTGGCAAAATATTTTATAATTTTATATAAATGGAAACAGATCAAATAGCCAACAGTAAACAAATACATAAATTATATACACTACCTAAGCTCTGCCTTAGATCAAACTCTTTATACATTGTGTCCTTTAATACAAAATAACACGCATACTTCCTACTTTTAGTAGGTAGGAAACTGTTCACACACCAAGCTAAAGACTGCAAAGAGTTCATACCTGTTGACTCGGCGAGGTCTGTCAACTAGATAGCTGAGCTCTGCTCGCTGGTGTTTATTCTAGGAAAAAATAAATAAATAAAGAGCACTAAAATTCAGAGGCTGTAATGGTCATTTTGCTTTTGAGAATAAGAACTCTATTGGATTTAAGTACAAGTGTACATTTTAATGAATTTTCAGGCTTTCATAAGACTACAGCATGGGGATTACTGTGTAGAGGCAGGAGAAATGTGTAGAGACATTTGAATCTAGATTTCTTTAATTCAGCTGTTTATAAGGCTTAAGAAAGAAAAAGCAAACTTGCTGGAGCACAGTAAATGTGTCTTGCTTTAAAGGGAGAATGCAAACAACCTCATAGCTAGGCTTGGTAAACTGTTGTGTCTACCATAGAATTATCCAAGATGAATTCTGTATCTTGTCCTTTCCCAGCCTACGGGGTGTTTAAACGCTTACTGACGGACACAAGAAAAACAGCACGCTCAATAAGCAAAAGTTTGATTATTTACTGCAATTATTTTGTTGTTTATTTTCGAAAGGTACTTAAGATACAAATGAGCTGTACAAATATTCATGAAAGTCAATGAATTATATCTGAGACTCAAAATAAGGAGATGCCAAGAAAGACTGTCATAAATCTACCCCCACCTTCCCCTCAGGAAGCCCTCTGCAAGCTCCACACTGTCCACACACCTCAGTTCAAACTTAGTTTTACATGGTCCTCCCCACCCTCCGAGTTTGCCACTACATCTCTACCTTTTAAAAAGAAACAGGAATTAACAAGTCAAATTCTTTGATGAAGAAAACCAACAGTGGGCAATTCCTCACAAAAAAACAGTGCCAAGGAGGTCATTATTACTGAAATGATATATTTAAGACAATTGTTCAAGCTTTCAGTTGGTTTACTTTAACAGGGTTCAGTGCCAAAGGAACTTCATTCAAATTCACACTGTGTGGGCATTAGGCTTCAAGAGCTTGTGTTAAAGCTGTCCAGAGCAGAACTGAAGGTTTTTTTGTTGTTGTTGTTGTTGTTATTGTTTGTTTTGTTTTGTCTTGTTATTTTTTTTTCCAGAGAAGAAACGGGTCACTAAAACATGCAATCCAATTTAGGCAATCATATAAAGTTAAACAATCTATAGCTCACTTGTTCATGCGACTGAAAGCAGCGAAAAAGAAAAACAGAATTGAACCAACTTTATTAATGCCTGGGACAGATGCAGAGAAACAGACCTTTGTCAGTGATAGGAAGTCCCTCCTCCACCCTCCCTTCTCTCTACAAGCTTTTTCCGCTTAAATCCCCCAGGTTTCAAAGAAGGCTGGACCTTACATGTGGGAGGTTGGGAGGTGTGGGACGGAGGGGGTCGGTGAGAAGCTGTGAGGTGTTAAAGAAGCAAAGGGGGAGGGAATGAAAATAAAAGTAAGGGGGTGGAGCTCAGTCAGGAACAACACGGAAGTTAGGTTACACTTCACGAGGTGAGAAAAGGTGACCCCATATTCTCGCTTTCCCACTGCCACAGAAACCAGCTAACACCCTAAAAATACACAGTGCACTCACTGGAAGAGATACAGGGCCAGGCTAGAGGAGGCTTTCTGAAGGAGGAGATGAGAGATGATGGTTCTTTCGCTTCAGCCTTACCTCGTTGGACAAAATGCTTCCGTTGGAAATGATGTCTGGTTGCTGGTCGCTGTACCCGGTGACGATGGCTCCGCAGGGATTGTGCTCAGCGTCTGTGCTCCGGGAAGGGCTGCAGGGCTTCAGGAACATCAGGTCGGTCTTGGCGGACTCTGGGGTGAGGCAGACCTGATAGCAATAGTTCTGGTTGTGGTGGTGGGAGCCAAAGCTCCCGGTCTCCTCTACTGGCACCTGGGCCGGGTTACTGGGGACGTTGGCGCTCTGCACCAACATGATGTCTGACTTGCTGAGTTTCTTCTTGCGCGCCCGGGCTTGGCGGCCGCAGCAGGTGGGGCCCCCACTGCCACAGCAGCAGCAGCAGAGACAGCAATCACTCGCTAGGCAGGTGTAGATGTTGAGTTTTTTCTCCTTTTGACAGCGCACGGCCAACACGATCATGGCCAGCAGAAAGATGAAGGACACTGAGCCCAGAGCGATGATGAGGATGAGTGTGAGGTCCAGCGAAGTTTCCCCGCCACCAGAGCGGCTGGGGCGCTGGTGCTCCCCGGGCCCTCCACCTCCGCCCCCGCCCCCGCCCTGGGGCTCCACGGCTCCATCCACCAGCTGAACTACCAGGGTGGCTGTGGAGGACAGGGGTGGCTGTCCATGGTCGCGCACCTCAATCACCAGCTCGTAAGGCCGCTGGGGGTCGCGCTTGGCTGGGACCCGGCGCGCAGTGCGGAGCTCTCCGGTGCGCCAGTCCAGGCGGAATAGGTTCATTTCGTTGCCCCGCACGATGCTGTAGGTGAGCCTGGCGTTCTCGCCGTCGTCCGCGTCCACTGCGGCGACGCGAGTAAGCAGGTAGCCCGGCTCGGCAGAGCGAGGCAGCACCTCGCGGGCTGGGGTCCCGTTGCGCCCCGGCAGGGGCGCCACGATGGCGGGGGCGTTGTCGTTCTGATCTACAATCAGGATGTTGACCGTGGCGTTGCCTGCCAGCGCCTGGGGGCTCCCGGCATCCCGGGCTTCCACCTGAAAGCTGAAGTCCTTGATCTGCTCATAATCAAAGGATCGCAGAGCGTACAAGTAGCCGTTATCTGAGTTGATGGACACGTAGGTGAAGACACTCATGCCCTGGATCTGGCACTCGAGGATAGAGTAGGTTAATTTGGCGTTGGCCCCTTCGTCGCGGTCCGTGGCGCTCACCGCGTAAATGTAGGCTCCTGGCACGTTGTTTTCTGTCACATACACGTCGTAGACCGGCTGGCTGAAGCGCGGCGCATTGTCATTCACATCAGACACTTGAACCTGGATCGACTTACTGGTGGAGAGGGCAGGTTCGCCCCGGTCGCGGGCCACCACTGTCAGGGTGTAGGAGTCGCCAGCCTCTCTGTCCAAAGGGGCTTCGGTCACGATGGTGTAGTAATTCTTGAAGGAAGACTTGAGGCGGAACGGCACATCTCCCAGCAGCTCACACTGCACCTGCCCATTCTCTTCTGAGTCTCGATCGGTCACGCTGAACAGAGCCACCACCGTGCCAGGGGCCGCACCCTCGCTCACCGCCTCTTTCACGGTGCTGAAACTGATCTCTGGTGCGTTGTCGTTGGCATCCAGCACTCTGACCAGCACCTTGCAGTGTGCAGGCACAGCATTGGGACCCAAGTCCTTGGCTTGGACATACACCTGGTACACGGGGCTCTCTTCATAGTCTAGCTCGCCGCTCACCTCCAGCCGGCCGGTGCGAGGCGAAAGTCCGAAGAGCTCTCGAGCCCTGGGCGAAATGTGACTGCTAAATGAGTACACGACCTCGCCGTTCTGGCCTTCATCCGGGTCGGTGGCGTTGAGCTGGATCACTAGGGTGCCAGGGGGTGAATTCTCTGGGAGGGAAACAGTGTAGACGGGTTGGTCGAACGCGGGCACATTGTCGTTGGAGTCCAGCACTCGGATGGTGAGCAAGGCTGTGCCTGTGCGCTGTTGCTGTGGGGGGGAGGCCGACTCCCCCACCGCCTCCCCCTCCTTCCCCTCCTCCTCCCCCTCCTCCCCCGTCCACCGCGGTCAGCACGTAGCGGTGCACCGCTTGCTGTTCTCGGTCCAGTGGCTTCTCCAGCACCAGCTCGGCGAATCGGTTGCCATCTCCTTGGGTCTGCACGTCTAGCGAGAAGTAGCTATTCGGGGTTATCTCATAGTCTCTCAATGAGTTGGTCCCCACGTCTGGGTCAAAGGCGCTCTCCAAGGGGAAAGCGGGTGCCTGGCGTGGCGCTCTCGGATATCTCCACTGTCAGGTCGGGTTCCGGGAAGGAGGGAGGGTTGTCATTGATGTCCAGCACTTCGATCTCCACTCTGAACAGCTCCAGCGGATTCTCCAGAAAGACCTCCAGGTGCAGGACACAAGAGGGGCTCTGCTTGCAGATCTGCTCGCGGTCGATCTTTTCATTTACATACAGAACCCCGGTCTCCAGATTGAGGTCCAAGTAAGGGGTCCGTGAGTTGGCCACAGTCTGAAACCTGCGAGCTGAAAGTTTTGTAATGTCCAAGCCCAGATCTTCCGCGATATTCCCCACGAAAGTGCCATGTTCCTGCTCCTCCTGCACTGTGTAATGAAGCTGGGAAAAGACTCCGTCCACCATCCAGAGCAAGGCAAAGAATAACAGCACAATCATCTCCAAAGGAAAAGAAGCCGCTCCCCCGTAGTCACTCAGCCACCCGATTACTTCCCCACCACCAAAAAAATTAATAATCTCAAAAATATAAATAAAATAATGTGCGGTGTAGGGGGGGCTTCTGTGGCTGTCCTAAAATTTTTTTTAATTCCTTTTACTTCATTTTAGAGCTTCCCCAAATCCAGCCTCATTTTTCAATCTTAACGCAGAGAGGGTGACAGACGTCCCTTCTGCTCAGATGTAATCTTCCCACTGACCAATTAATAAAATAACGATAATACAATAGTCAGCCTCCTTTATTCCGACAGTCTTGGCGCAACGCGGCGCTGGCAAATCCCAAGGAGGCAATTTCGATATTTCAAGACTGTCCTAGGTTTGTCTTCTTTCTGATAGGAGGAGAACGTGGAGGAGGAAGAAGAGGAGGAGGAGGAGGAAGATGAAGAAGAGAAGGAAGAGGAGATGCTGCCGGCACCGCTGAACATGCCTCTTGATGTCAATGGCTTGCAAACGCGAGCGGGCTTAAAGACAGCGAGAGAATTTGCTGCCGGAAAAACACAGAGTCGTTCTGCAGCATAAAACTTTCATTCTCTTCATTTCTCCGGATGGACGTTCCTCTTGACATTTTCTCTCCTCTTTGGCTCTATTTGCATTTCTTGGCTTTCATAGTCTCGTCTCTGGTCCTCAACCCAACCGTCCCTTGCCTTGCTGTAAACACAGCAAGCGATTGCTTTTCTGCTGTTTCCTTCCCAAGCCTCTCCCCTCTAACCTGCCTCTTTTCCTTTCAGTCCATCCTGCCTCCGGCTTCAGCCTCAAAGCCTGTGATCTCGGCTGGCAGTTTCTGAGCTCGGAGCGCTCGGCTTCTCTGTTTTTGCGCAGCGCCCTCATTCTGCCAACCAATCGCCGAGGAGCACCACCCACCGAGCGACTGCTCATTGGCGAAAGTGGCCGTCAAGTACACACGTCACGCAGCAGCCAGGATGGGCGGGGCAGAACGCTCGCCTAGGCTGCCCCAGTGAGTGTGAGTGTGAGAGCGAGAACAGCCCGCAGGTCCCGAGGCGCTTGCAGGGGACTCTGCCGCGGAAAGTTCCCAGTCCCCAGCCGCAGGTAATGGGCAGGGAATAAGAGAGGTTCCCCTGTTTGCATCAGCAAATACGAAAACATAATAGCAACGGCGGCGGCGGTAGCCTCTCCAAGGAGCGGGGTTTCCAGTGACGCTAACATTCTTTTTCCTTTAAGGTGTTTTCCCTGCTGCTGCTCGTGGAAAGAAATCACCAAGAAGGGGGGAAAGTTGCCCTGGGGCCGTAGTCAGCAGGGGTTGCCTAATGAAGGGACTCTGACTCAGATGCGCGCGGACGATTTAAAGGCAGACATAAAATGGGATGTGTCAATCAGAGCAGGAGGGTCCATAGGGGTTGTGTGGGGAGGATAAACGAGGCTGAAATGGGAGTGCGGAGGTGAAGTACCCCCCCCCCCGCAAAGCGGAGGGATTCAGACTAAGGTACATGGGGCGACAGCTCCTATAAGACGGGTAGACGATTGGACGTCTACCCACCTAAAGTCTACATACAAAATACTTACCTAGTAGATTAACTCGTTTGGGGACGTGGCTTCGAACTGTAAGTACCCTAGTTAAGGAATGGGGGCTTCTTTGTACTCTTTACCTAGGAGCCCGCCATCGTTAAACCCCACTCTAGGGCACCGGTGCCAGCACCACCCATGGCTGCGAGGCGCTAGCAATATCCCTGCGCCTCGCCTGGCCTCGCGCCAGGCAGCGGTGGGGAGCGCGGGCTTTTATTTTATTTGCCTGATTTCTATTTCAATTATTTATTTTCCTTTTGCTATTGGCAATCCATCACCGCCTCCATACTAGAGGGGGTAGGGAGGGTCCATGTCCAGTCTGGGGACAGCTCTCTGGAGAATGACCGTGGGGTGGGCGCGAGGGCGGGAGGGGCTGTGAGTTGTGTGGTTTCACACGCACAGGGGCATCGAGTGTGCACTGCTGCGGGAATCCACGGACACGTTTGCACGTTCCTGGTTCTGGCTCTTGTTCTCGCTGGCCTTATGCTCAGCTAGGTGTCAGTCCCCGGGGAGGAACCCCAGGATTCTGAGCGACTCGCTTGACTAGCCGCGGGTGCCCACTCTGAGCTGTATCCACACACCCAGTTCTGGTGAAGTTACAAGGTGGTGCAAACGAACTCTCCGGTGCTGGAGAGTGCAAGCAGTGCCCATTCCCCAAGGATAAACATGAAAGTATACGTTTTGATATTAATCAACACGCTGTCACAAGGAATAGGTTGTTTATTTTCCGGTCCAGCCCCTTAAGCCAAAGACTAGAATAACACTCTAGAGGCTTCCTGGTAATGAATGACCCAAGAGTAAGGCCACTGGAACCCGAGGGGAAGGTTCCTTGTCCACCCCCTAAGGTATGCTACAGTGCCTTCCAGCGAGGAAATAGGAGTGCAGGTCCCCAGAGTGACTGACACAGAGGCATGCTCGGAGCAGTGAGGAGAGTCCATGTCTAACGGTCCATTCTCCTAGCCCTAGAGGCTCTTGCTGAGAGATGGGTTCTACCTTTAAGCGGGTAGCTAGCTGGAAAAGCAGCCAGCAAACATGGCTAAGCCTTTTCCAGCTGCAGTGAATTGACCATCCGCCAAACCCAAGCTCTAACCGCTGCAGTTTAAAATGATTTTAGCGTCACGTCTGCGGCAGAGAATGGAGCGGCAGAGCAGAAAAAGAACCTGTGGATCAATGAAAAGGGGCTCGTAGCGTATCCGAATATTAATACACTGTGGCCATCTGTGCTTCCGCCCCTCCTCCTTTCTTCGGATCTACAACGTTAAAATGCATTTTTTCCCCTAGCTCCCCAAGCTGACTCATCAGAAACCTAGAGCCTTGTTTTAAAAAAAAATTACACACGACGGTAATGCTTTAATATGTTTATTTGTACTAGCGGAACAATTTTGTGTGTGTGCATGTTTATGTGTCAGAGACAAGCGCGGCGGCGGAATGACAGTGCAGAAGCAAATGCATTGGGGGAGCGGGTTTACGTCTCGCAAAGGAGCTTGAAGTTTGAGCTGACTTAGGGCGTTTGCAAAAAGCCAGCGAGCTTCCCGAGGTGGAGATGAGAACGTGGAGAGATGGCCAGATTTCCCTGTAAATAATCAGTGCATCCACTGTAACACTTGAGCTCCTTTTTTTTTTTTTTTTTTTTTTTTTGGTGGCAGCTGTGTTGGGTATCTTCTCCAGAAACGTGGGTTACAGGCGTCTCCTAGCGGCGAAAGTAGCATATGGCAAGCAAGAGAGCTTTGTCGTGTATCCCGCTTTTGGTAGGGCTTGCCTGTTGGGGGCTCTGCTGGATTTCGCGGGTCACAGGTTGGCGTCCAGGCCAGCAAAGCAAAGCCAGGCTCCTCCACGGGTCTGACCTCACTGACTTTTAGTCTCTGAGGCGCCAGCCCTTGCACTGCAGGGGTGACAGTAGAGTCTTCATAGCCAAATAAGAGCGATCCAGGGCCTCTGCTTTCCCCGAGAAAACTCCATCGAAGGAAGACTCCAACAGCAGTTTCTTCGCGTCCAACATTTGCAGGTGGGTATTAGAGTAAGGCCTTTGAAAGAAACCATTCCTATGATCTTGAAGTCAAAAACAGTACATAAATTTTCCTTTCAAAACTGCCTTTTGAGCCTAACATGTATGTTTTCTGTCTTTGTAGTAGTTAAGTAGACACCCTGCCCCTCTGCCCTTCTTAATCCTTTTTGCCATCCTATTTTGTCTCAATACTTAGTGAAGTCACAGTTACAGACACAGCTTCTTTGAAGTACAGAGCAATGAGTGTACTTTGTCCCTGGACTCTGCTTTACTGCTGTGCTGTGTGAGAAGCAACATGTGCATGCAATCGTGCAATCTTCCTCCCTCGGCCTCTGCACCCAAAGAGCTCCAGGTGTCTGTGCCACAACAAACTGCATACCAGGATTGGGGGATAGGGTTACTAATCATTTGGAAAGAGTATAAAAATCAGTTTTCATGAAAATCTTGGTTTATGTGTGAATATGACAATGCATTATATGTCTAAGATGTCTAAATGAGGCAGCAATAAGAGGACACCAAGGATCTCTAAGAGCATGGTAGCTAAATAATAGGGTTGCTTTCTTGTCTCCTTGCTGGAGAGTGCAGGAGAGGTAGGTTTGTTAACTAGCTTTTAGATAAATGAGCCTTTGGTTGTGATGTAATGTGACTCCAAAGTGATCTGTTCTACAATCTTCTTATTATTGCACTGTGCTCAGAACTTTGAGGGGAAAAATCTGAGGTCCTGTCATTTTGTAAGAACTGGAAGGGATGGTTTTAAATGCATCAGTAAGGATGGTTTTAAACCTCAGATAGCACCAAGATTGAGCTGGATGTTTCTCTGCATTTACCACTCCTAAGAAATCCAACCCACAGTATAAATGCAAAGATCTGATGTAGTGGCACATTTTACAGATAACCATGAAATAAGTTCTTATGCAGTAGCTAAATACAACTTAAGTGGAAGGCAAGGAAGTCTTTGGAGCTAAGCTCATAGACACAAAAATATCTCCATTTACTTGTAGCAAAGGGCTGGTATGGGTTTTAAGTTTTGGAAATGATTTACAATGTATGATCCTGGAGGTATTTGAGTGACTACTAGCTATGTAAGGCTTTGAACTCAACTGAGAACAAGTCATGTGGTCCTTATTCTTGGGGTTGGGGATTCCAGGTAGTCCACAAAGTTCTACTGTCTTGATACTCAAAGTAGAAATGTTCAGCTTTGCTTCTTTAACTATTAAGTGTTGGTGTGGCTTCACAGTGCAATGTCTTTCCATTCATCCAACAGGGCCAGTGTTTTGTTAAACTCTAAACAGTGAATTAAAAGCGCTGGATGGGCTGAGGCAGGCCTCTAATGCAAAATGACAAATTGCACTTAAGCAATACATGAGCAAGAAATGATTTATGGATTTTTGCAATGGTCTGAGAAAATGAAAGCAACATGAATTATACATCCTAATGCTCCAGATATCATTTTCTAATAATACCTTTTCAGTTCAGATACTGTACCCTCTTTACTATAAGAGAAATTGATCAGGGGTATTTTTAAATTAGGCAAAGGCTTTTGATAGTTATGCCAAATATATATATTGGAGTATAATTTCCCTTGGTTTGGAGATGGGGGAGCAATAAACACCAAACAAACATTTTTGCCAGATCCTTCCACATTGTTTTAGAGGAAGAGAAAAGCCTTTTGAGCATTTATGCTGTCCCACCATCTTTCATAAGACAAGGCAACAGCTCTGGCTTAGAATGGCAGTTTCCATTACCACATGATCCCTTTTCAGAAAAATCAGAATTTGTTACCTCACCTCACTCATTTCTCTCATTGTACTGGATATTGAAAAGTCTGATTTCTAAATGACTCTTGGCCCCTCCAATATTCTTTTTTAGCCTAACTTTTTATGTTGAAAATTTTATGTTGTGGTTGGAGATTCATGTGAGCTAATGAAATGGTCAGCTTAGTATTGTGTGTGTGTGGAGGGGTCTCTTTGTAAAGGAAACACATTTCATGAACTGCCTCCAATTTCCTTAAGAATCAGATAAGCTTTTATACGGTACTAGTATTTTGAGTTTGAAAACTGAAACTATTTAGTTACATCTGAGTTGTGATGAGAATTACTTGCAGCATTTTCATTTAACTGTTTGTAACTTTAGAGTGGGTCTTTCTTGGTGGTATATACCACTGTCAGTGAAGTAACCTCTGCTGGGTTGCATACTTAACCAAAGGAAACGGCTAATCACCCAGAGGTCTCTAAAGTCATATTACTAAGCTTCATCTTAATTATCGAGTACTATTAAAAAGAAGAGAGAAAAAGAAATGAAAAGAAAAACCATAGTGAATCCCAGTTTCTGCCTTTGACAGCATTAATAACCACTCTTACTAAAAGATTACTGAAATCAATGATGTGATTAGGATTGTAAATAAGAGCTACAAGACATCAGATTTTAAAAGCCAGCTGCTCCACTAACAGGGAGATGTGTGGATTTTACTGATGGGACCCAGAGGCAGAAAATGAAGCTTCAAACACTAGGGTCGATACAGAACAATTTCAAAAATTAATTGCAAGTCTTGATTAAGTTTATAAGAGCAAGAGAGAAATTCAGAAAGAGCCCCCCTTTCTCTTCCCCAGTGGCATGATTTTTTATTTGACACAGATAGCAAGCCAACAGAGTCCTAGCTTTTACTAAGGAAGTATAAATTGTTTTCTTAGGGGAAGCCCCTTGGTCTTATCAGTAGAAAATGAGATGACTCGAGTTGGGATTGAGGTTACCAGTCACACAACTCTGTCCTGAATCACTTGAAAATAATATTAGAGACAAGCACCATGGAAATAATATCCAAAGTGGCTTCAGAATTGCATTAATAATTGCAATTACAACAATAAATTGCATCACAGCAAAATGAATACTTCACTAAAAAGTATCACTGTTTCACTGACTTGTTAGTGAAATTCATAATACAAGGAATCTTGTTTGCTCTGCTATCCTTTTTAAATGGGTTAGTCATATATTCTTCAATGCTTTATTCTACTGCATTTCTGTATATATGTAGATGATCATAACTAATGGTTTTTAAACTGTGTACAAAGGTTTGTGTTATGATATTTGCTTTCCCTGACTCTAGAGCTACACTCATTTGTATATGTTAGACAAGGCTCTAAAGGATGACTATATGTTGAGCTACTGATGAGACTACCATTCAAGTCCAGGCCTTCTGATATCCATGTCCAGGCTCATTTTACTATCACATGATATTTAAAACTTATTGATCTTTGAGGCATGGTCTCACTGGTCTGGAACTTATTAAGTAGAGGATACTAAATCCAAACTCCACTGTCCTGGCCTTCTGAGTGCTGGGATCAATGGCATATGCCTTGGTATTTCCAAAGTCCATCTGGATGGGTGACCTTAATGGAGCAAATAAAAAGAAGCGACCTAATTTAGTTATGTATACATTTATACCTTGAACTGATGTCAGTCCTAATCCTAGTATAGTCAAAACCAGCTTGTGTGTCACTGAGATCACTCTAGGAATTGAAGGAGGGTTTTCTTTTAAAGTTTATCACTGAATCAAACTTGAACATATTTTCTTACAGAAAGGGGGTTATAAGCAGTCACCTTTTAATGAGATATGCCTGCAATGGGAATCATAGATTTTAATGAAGAAACATGGAATGGATAAAGCAAATGTGCCCAAAAGGAAACCATCTCTGGTTTATTTGTTACTAGCTGGGTTGACCAATGACCTTGGAAGCATTTTTTGTTGCTCTCTCGGTTCACCAGAGGGTAAAACCAGAGGTCTACCAGCTCTAAACAATGAAAACATTATTGTTAATTTTGTAAGCATTTGTAAACCAGACTTTAATTTTAAAATTAAAATGTATTTGAAAAAACATTAATGCCGTCTATAGCGCTTTAAAAACTTTTACTCAGAAAACTAAGTGTGTCTATTTGAAAATTTCAAAATTTATTCAGGAAAATCAGATGAAACAATCTTAAATTTGAAGTATAAGTAGTCAAAGGTAGACTGTTCTGATGATACCGTCATCATATGTGGCATTTCTAGTCATTTTCTTTGTATGAACTAACAAGGTGAAGAATAGTGTCTCTTTCAGGTGTATAATCGGTAATTCATATTAGAGACCACGTGGATTCTTCACTCAATACTACATCTTCTTGGTCCTGATGCTCTCTCAACTGTGGCAGGAGATGATATGACACATTATAAAGACCAGAGCCTCTGGAATTGAAACAAGTTAGACTCAGACCCTTGCTACTTCAAACGCTTGATTTTACTGAACTACTTAACTTCTTTGAAGTCCTTAAAAAAATACCATTCCTTCCAAATTCCTATAAAAATGGGATGCTACATTAACCTTGTGATGTTTAATCTTAAACGACACATGTAAAGTACTTGTAAAGCCCCAGATGAGACCCAGTATATGTTATTAGTACATAACAACATATGCTTTGAATAGCCTATTTACTGATATTTACTAAGAAAAGTTGACATTGATTTCTTCAAGGTTTTATTTCTTTCTCTAACAGGAACTGTTTACTAAACAGGCAGAAAAACTGTTTTACATTGTGCACATTTCAAGGGAAATTATAAAATGATTTTGAAGACTGTATGCAAAAAATAGATGAAGTCTATGCTAACTAAATATAAGCTTCAAACCATGAGAATCAATGAGAAGCCTTTTCTAACATCATATTGCCATGTTTCATATTTATATTGCTTTTGTCAGGAAAAATACAATTCTCCTTAGGTTTAAATTTATATAATGAAGCTGATAAGTGTATGCATTAAAAACATTTGGTTTGAAAGGAAGATAGTTAAGATAGTTAATCACTAAAATAAATATTTTATTATCCCCATATTTGTTGACATATTAGTATTACAGTACTATACTGTTGTTTAATATTCATTTTTAAATAATTCCTTTGATTGCTAGTACTTAAAATTCTCAAAATTAAAAACAAATTTGTTTAAAAAATAATCTGATAAAATGCAAGTTCAAGAGAATGCCAACTTCTCTGCTTCAAAATCCTGATGGGTTTGGCTTTCTTTTTTGGCATTACCTTGCCATTTTCCAGATGTTATTGAACATATTTGCATTCCATTTAACTGCACAGTAAACTGGAGCAACAAATACTCAAAATATATACTGAAGCTAATGTTATGAAAATTCTTTGTACTCAAAGGGAATTAATGTTAGTCATGGGTATATGTCTCAGGGAATCCACAATCTTTGTGATAAATTATAGATGTGTGTAAAAGAGTTAGGGAATAATAATAATAATAATGAGAAAAGTAAAACAAACTGACTATCAACACTGTATTTGAACAAAGATTAAATACAGTAAGTCAATCAGAAGAGCATCTTTAACGTTTTGAAAGGAAACAGTGACACACAATGGTATAAACAAACAAACAGGATCAGGTTAGTGCCATTTGCACATAGAAAGTAAAGGTCTTGATGGCAGCAGGCTGTTCTGGAGAGATCGTCACAATGAGGCAATATCCTGACTTTGGACCCAGTTCCTTAAGTCTATGATATCAGTCACTGTCAATCATGACTCGTTGGATACCTTACCCAAATCCAACTCTCCATCTGACCAGATACAATGTCAAGGGTGTTATTCGTGATTCTTGTTCAGAACACACTGATTATTTCTTTTGGTACACTGTGGATTCAAAGCTAGCATTCTGTTTTAAGATTCTGACAAAATCCGAGGTTACTTTCTGTTCATGAGGGTATCTGGGATGTCGGGCTACTGTTGCTAATTAAGTAACACAGTGACAATTGCTAATTTTCCAAAAGTACATTATTTTGCTTTTCTGTCATAGTATGCAAAGAAGAATCTAGTTTAACAGGGCATACATCCGTTAATCTGGATAGTATGGGAGAGAGAGAGAGAGAGAGAGAGAGAGAGAGAGAGAGAGAGAGAGAGAGAGAGAGAGAGAGAGAGAGAGAGGGAACTCTTGTTTAAAACTACATGCTCCAAGTAGCATTCACTTGGATAAAGATTTACTGAATTACTAGATAATTAACTTTTCAACTTCTATTATTTTTCTTATTAAAAGATAGCTTTGCATACTATAATCAATTCCACAAGCTGTGCTTTTTCTAATATTGCATATTTGGAAAGATATTTTACAAGTTAGTGATTTTAAATAAACCTCATCTAAACTATTTTGAAGGCACAATACAAGTGTGTTAAAAACAACTTATCTCTCTCTTATTAAAAGATGTATTTATTTTTATTGTATGTCTCTTCACTGCATGCATGCAGTGCCCGTGGAGGCCAGAAGAGGGTGTTGGATTGCCTGGAACTGGAGTTAGAGGTGCTTGTATTATAGTTTTTAAACATGGGGCAGATTTAACTTAAAAAGAAACTCTAATTGCTTAGGCTGTTCAAAGTCGTGTCTGGAACTGCAGGGCAAAAGCACACAGGTTATCGTCTATCGTCTATGTTCTTCATTTTCCTGAAAGGAGACATTTTCACTTTTAAATGGAATTAGTGCACATGTGCATGCACACACACACACACACACACACACACACACAACCACACTATACAGTCCTGTTGGTATGATGAACAGTGATAGTATATTTTGTGATCATCAGAGTCAGAGTTATCATTTAGATATTATGAAGTTTGGATTTTTTTAAAATTTCATTTGCTTTGGTGTTTTCCATGCAGGTATGTTTGTATGAGGGTGTTGTTTTCTCTGGACAGTTACAGATGATTCTGAGTCACTGTGTAGGTGCTAGGAATTTAACCCAGGTCATCTGGAAGAGCAGCCAGTGTTATTAACTACTGAGGCACCGCTCCAGCATGAAGCTTGGATATTCTTATCTCTATAGTTAAGTTATGATTATTTATAATCTCAAGATAAAAGGTAATTCTGAAACCTCATGAGTGGATAGTCTGAGTAGTGAAAATAATGCAAAAGTTAAAATGAAAAATAAACATGAATATTCAAATGCTTTTGGAAAAGAATCCTGTAGGAGTGAACCCCACAAAGCTACCCGCCCAACAGGGCGGGGTCAAGGTAGAGATAAAAGGTAGTGAAAGGAAAAGGGGCCTCCCTCTTTTTCTCCTGGAAGCCAGCCACGCTTCTAACTCCTGGTATGTGCGACTCTCTCTCTCCCTGATAAATAAATATATTGTTTTTCCCTATATAGCCTCGATTACCGCGATAGAATCCTCATAGATAAGCTGCATTTTTACCATGAAGCCTAAATGGATCTGTAAAGCATAATAAGTTACACAGATTCAGACATTGCCACTCGTTCAAGTTTGTTGATTTTAGTAGATAACTTCAGAATACCGTGGAAAGAATGGCTTAGGTTTTATTTAGTAGAACATGATCAAATGAATTCATTATAGGTTTGACCAACAACAGAAATATATAACTATGGAACAGGTAAATGTTTATGGTGTTAAACATTATAAAATCTTTGGCATGTTTCTTAAACCCAGGCTTAACCTTGGGTCTTCACAGATACTATGGAAAACAGGAAGATAACCCAACCCAACCCAAACAGAAAGCACCAAAATATGTGAAATCCGTATAGCAGAGACGATGAGCTTTTCTGGGAGGTGATACTGAATGAAGAGTAGTTCTCTCCAGGGAATCACTTCAAGATCATACCTCTTACCTGATGCTGCTGATCTTGGATATTAGAGATGTGGAAAGGGGCAAGGAAGTCTCACAATTTTGGATGTCTCCCTTGAAAGTAAGTCCCTTCAGAGCTCCATGCAGAGGAGTTGGGTGTAACTGTTCATCTTTTTTTCTCAATATGTGTTTTTATTTAAATTAGAAACATGAATGCTTCATGTGTCAGTCCCAGCTCCCTCTCCCATCCCTCCTCCCTTGACCTTCCACCAGCCCCCCAGCTCTCCAGCCCCCCACCCAGTCCCCACATCGTTCCCCAGGGAGGGTGAGGCCCTCCTTGGTGGGATCTCTAAAGTCTGTCATTTCATCCAGGGCAGGACCTAGGCCCTTCCCCATGACCTTGAGCTGATTGGGAACATCAGGGGAGGGAAGAGGAAACCAAGAAAAAGAGAGGGGGAGAAGAAGGTATGGGGAAGCAGGAAGATTGAGTCAAGGTAAGACTAGAGGAGAGCAGGATGAGAGATACCATAATAGATTGAGTCATTATAGGCTTGAGGAGAGAGCTGATACTAGTGAGATCTCCAGAGATCTACAAAGATAACACCAACTCACAAACTAAGCAATAGTGGAGAGACTACACTAATAGCCCCTCCTTGATGATAGGGTTGATGACTACCCTATATGCCGTCCTAGAACCTTCATCCAGGGACTGATGGAAGCAGAGACAGATACCTACAGCTAAACACCGAACTGAACTCCTGGAACCTAGTGACAGAGATGGAGGAGTGATGAGCAAAGGGGTCAAGACCATGATGATGAAACAAAGACAGCTGACTGGGGACTCTTGAATCCCAGACTGATGGCTGAGAGACCAACAGGGGACTGATCCAGACTCCATGAATGTAGTGCCAGGTAGGAGGCCACAGAAATCATTGGGGCCTTGGGTAGTAGTAGATCAGTGTTTACCATGGTTTATGAATGAGCTTTGGGAGCCCATTCCAATTAGAGGGATGCTCTCTTAGCCTGGACACATGGGAAACTGTTCATCTTTTAAAAACTTTTCGAACTAATTTCTCTTCTTTTTATTGACTAACTTTGTTATGTGGCAATTCCTCACACATCTGTGTTTGAGCGCCAGGGTTCCAGAAAAGCTAGAGTAAAATTGGTGGTAACAGTAAGTAAAATTTCACTCAGTCTCCACCAGGGGAAGCTATGAGAAATGGAGGAGGTTGATGTTTCTGACATACCTGAGAGGTTTCGTCCAAGTTGTCTATTGACTGGAAATCTCAAGAACTGCATTTTTCCTGGGTGTTCTGCTTCTTATTCTTTATTTGATTAAATATATTTATTTTCTATGATTAGGACACATAGGATTATATCCATGTTATATGTGCCATGGATGAAGAGAATGTTTAAACCCGAATATGTGACTTCATTACTTAAATAACTTCATTGATCTTTGTCATCATCAGCATCATCAGTAACATGTTGTGAATCAGAAATTTATAATAATTATTTTAATAGCATGGCAGAGTCAAGCTATGATAATGAGAACACTGTTGCTAGAAACTGAATTATTTTTTACTACAAAAAGAAAGACAAAGAAAAAGAAAGAAATCCCCTTCTATCTTCATCAGAGTTTATAATTTGAGTTTAGCTTACCATAACTACATGGTTCTTGGGTATGTATCAGAAGCATAACACAGCAAGCTTACTCCAAACTTTCTCAAAGGTATCAGGTTTCAGGATGGTAAATCAGTAAGTATTATATTATTACAAATAATCAGTCAAATGTAATATTTGTTTCGCTGAAAATAAGGGAATGTTAAGAAGTGTTAAGATATAGTTTAACTGTCAGAGTGCTGGCTATAAGACCACTTTAGTTTATATCTTTGTTTTCAAATTAAATCCCTAAAAATGAAGACAAATTTTACAGGTCAAACCAGAAATATAGTAAGTCTTAAAATATTTTTTGAGTTTGATACTGAATGAATTAAATAAACAGGAAACAGTACGGTCATGGCATTTAACAGATGCTTCATGTTATCGTGATGGTGTCCTAATTGACTGCTGTTCACCCTGTCGCTTCAGAGTTTCTTCATGTTCAGATACAGTTGTGAAACTGTTTCTAGATGAGAAGGAGGTGTTATACTTCAGTGAGTTGTAGGTGGCAGTGTACATAGCAAAACTGCATTTGTTTCAGCACTTTTTTCCCATTGTGTAGCTGTTTTATTTATTTCTCTTGGGTTTGAGTTTTAACCCAGGATATCATATAAGCTAAGAATACACTTTATCTTTGGCCTAAACCTTAGCAATGGTTGGCAACTGTATATTTAATATTATCGTAGACCTTTCATTATAACATTAACTGATGAAAAAAAGAAAAAAGGGAAAGAAAAAGAGAGAAAATAAGTCACACACAATCTCTGTATGCTATTAAGATATAGTTCAAATATCAACTTTTTCTGGAAGAAGCATTTTTAGGAATACTTTCTAAATACTTTTGAAGGTCAACATACATATATCAGAAAAGTGTATTTATCTGTCAGCATACCTAACACTAAGAGAATTTAGAGCAATCATGCATCATCATTGACAGTTCCTTATCCTGCTTAGGTCACTGTCTGTTTAAAAGTTGGAATCAAACGTGATTTGTTTGGTCATTTATAACAGCACAATCCCTGCTTATTTGTTATTTTTGAAGTCCGATACCTCGGGTAAAAATTTAGGAACACACTTTCTGCTCTATCTCCCCAGCACACACACACACACACACACACACACACACACACACACACACACTGAGAACTTCTCGATAATAAAGTTTTACAATGTGAAAATAACAGAATAAGCATTGAGGTGATGACTAAAAGCTGCAGGGTGGCATCCAAAGGGAATAAGGTCAGCCAATGGAAGAGTGCATGGCACCTCTGTCCTTCCAGATCACGGAACATATGCAAAGGTCTCCTGAAAGCCAAAGGGAGGCAGATGCGAACATAGGCAGGACTGGGTGAGATTCAGATACAGGCATTGGATTGTGTGTCCTGATCCTGACTCTCCCCACCCCACATTGAACAATTGAAATGTCTCACTCCCTTCTCTTTTACACTAAGGTCCTTCCACCAGTTCTTTGTAAACACAAGAGGATGGGACAACTTTCCTCACAGCATTGGATACTATTAAACCTGGGAAGTAAGCAGTATTTTTGTTTTTATTTGTGTTTTCTTAAAAGTGTTGTGTTTTTGTTTTTTGTTTTTGTGATTTATATTCTATAACTTTTAACACATTCAATTAATTAAATTTTTAGCTCATTTTCATCTTATGGTTTTCAAATAGATGTCCCTTTGCTTTTTCATTTGTATATCTATGTGTGTGCATTTAGTGTGTTAGTAATGGTGCACATGTATGTACATGTATGTGCATGCAGTGTGCATATGTGGTGTATATATACATACACCTATGTGTGTGCAGAGGCCAGAGGAAGATATTGGTTGTTCTATTCTGTCAGTATCCACATTATTCCCCCAGATAAGGTCTCTCCGTGACTGACTGGCCGGAAAGTTTATGGGATCTACCTGTCACCACCTCACAGCGCTGGGCTTATAGGTGAAAGGTCATTTCCAGATTTTACACAGTGCTAGGCATCTGAATTGAGTTCCTCATGTTTGCAAAAAGCATTTGTACCCACTGAGATATCCCCTCATCCTTACTTTTACTTTTAAATTAAACTTATTTTAGTTGATACCTGAAATCATAAAAAGTGTATATATTTATAGACTACTAATGAGGATGTGAATTTTTCATACTTTGTACGATCTTTAATTTCTTAGTTGGGATAAACACCTATAGTTACTCAAGAAATTGTCCTTTTTATAGCAACATTATCCTTTCTTCTAGCTTTTTGAAATATGCAACACATTGTTGCAATGATGCTGTATACAAGCTGCCTTTCAAGTTGTCCCATTTGCTTATTATCATGGGCAAACACATTACCTTTGTAATTCAAATATGAAATAGGCATACCATAAAGAGATCCAAATAGGAATTCTTTCCATAAGCATGCTTGCTCATTTTCACAACCATTAGAGACTCTCGAAACTTGTGTATTTCATGAGCACTTAAAATGGTTTCAGTGTTTGAGTTTTAAAATAGATGTAGTCTTTAGGAACAACCATTTCCCAAACAATAAGTAACTCCTGCACCTATGTTCAATATTCCACAATGACAATAAGATCTTTGGTAAGTGTGGAAAGTTGAAATGTTACAGATCCAGGTCCTAATTTTATCAGGTTATCTTTAGTCCGCTTAGCAGTATTCAGTGAACACTTGTCCTTCTGGTCTACCATTCTTGCAATTTATCATCTGAATCCTTTTGGTTTCAGACCACAAACACAAAAGAAAGAATGTCAACTGGTGGCATTTGAAACCTCTGGCATTGATTTTCCTGCTTTGCTGTAACCCATCTATCTGATATCCCCCTAACATATTTGAAAAGTGCCTTGACATATAACTTGCTTTTGTTTAGTTAAATGTAAAGCTTAACTCAGCCGTTTTAACATTGGATCATGTTATTTGAGACATCCTGAACCACGTTCATTAAGTCACTGCTACTAGCTCAAGAAGAAATCCTGACTCCATTAACGTAAGAACTGTGTTTTGTGTCAACAGTTTTTAGAGCCATAAACCAATTTCACATACATTGTGGCAAGTTCATTTGAAAAGTAATGTGAAACCATAAAAATTAGCTAAAATAGGAGACCGAGACCATCTCAAACTCTCTTGAGTTGGAGGCATCACTCAGCCAAGGATTTGGTTGTGCTATCTTTGAGTGATATCGATAACTGAAGCAGCAAGTATGCGGGGTCTTTGCACAGAAAATCGATATTATGCTCACAGTTACCACATTCTCACTGCATGTCACTCTAAAAAGCTTTTATAAATAGCATCCTATGAGATAAGTCTTTCACTTCATCATGCCTAGATTAAGGAAATGGGGAAGTTGTAATACAAGTACAGATGACTTCTTTTGCATAAGAGGTTATAGTATAGGGAAAATACAGTCTCATTAAGTTGTACTTGCATGAGACTTTAACAGGAATGTGGACATCTGAACCTTCACAGTTATGTACACATGTTTTTCTATTGTCGAAAATAAAGTAATAACTTATAATTCAATTAGAAATTAATAATGGCAAGTCATTTGATTGCTTAATGAATTCATTCTTTCTGCAAATATATATGTAATGTTTTCAATATTGTTAAAGTTCTTGATATATTAATAAATAATGCCTTTGTGAGTGTGTGCTTGAATGGATTTGGGGGAAAAAAAACCTAAGTGTGCTCACTAAATATATGAGATAGTTCCCTAAAAAGTAAAATGTGCTGTGAAGAATTGAAAACTTAAAGAAAAGGCATATATGAATGTAAAATTATTTACTTTTAGATGCCAGAGAGATTGGTAAATAATTAACGGCAATCTTGAGGACTAGAGTTTAGATCCCTGGACTCATATAACAAACCAGACATCCTGCACACATCTGTAACACCAATTCCAAGAGGGTGTGATGGAGGATTGATAGTTCCCAACACAGCTGCTAAAACACAAGTCTCAGGTTCAGCCAAAACTGCATTGAAGGAGTAGCTCATGGTGATAGAGGATGACATCTGATGTCCCCTCCTAGTCTCTGAGCCCAGGAACACATGAGTATAGATAAGTACACATGTGCATGTACACACACACTCTCACACAGAGAGAAGTTTGAAAGTTAAGGACTTCTAAATTTCTGAGGGTGACCAAAACTGAGACGAGGCTTAGAGAAAAACAAGTAGACAGTGATTTCTACTGAGAAGAGAAAAACATACATTAGGGACAGATGCAATACTGGGTGCTCATAGTTTTGGGGTTTTTGTTTGTTTGTTTTAGTGTTTCCTCCGTAAGTTGCTTTAAGGGTGATTTCTCATAATACACTAAATTGAATGTCTTCCCATCAAGCAATTTGTCCCAAACATAAAAACTATGGTAGAACCATGGAACTAACTGTGTTATTCTGATGACAAAAAGGCTTTTAAAATAAAGATAGGACTGTCTGGATACAGAATAGACTTCTATTTTTTTAGCATATTTTATTTTTAGCAGAAACATAAGGTAGTTTTTAAGAATGCATCGGGGAAAGCAAAACATTAATTTGGGGAGCTGAGTACCCAGCAGGAATGTTTTAGGACTTCTATGTTTACCTTAACAAAATACTTATTACCTGTGGGGAGTTTCAAGACAATGAGATAAAAGTAAAGGAATTAAAAGCTAAGAAGAATCTAGTTATTGTTTGATCAAATGAATTTCATGGAGAATTGGCAGTGAGCTGTGTCATTATCCCCACTCTAAGAGCCATTGATTGTCTCTCGCCAAAATCTGATTTTAGTCTACTGGGAATGAAAAGGCTTAACGTTGCTGCCACATGTCAACATGATGGTACTTCTAGAATGGACTGTGTGATAGGAGTGCTCTCTGTGCATATTTGGTAAGGTTTCTTTTATTTCTGTTAACTCTGTAATAACTAAGTGGTGGTCTTAAAAGAAGCCAATGTCTGTGCAAGCGAAGTCTGTAATTAAAAGAGCTCATTCCTTTTTGCCCTGCTCCATAAAATTTTATTCTGCTGAAATGTCAATGTTTGACCAGTGTGGTTATCACCTAGGTTAACTTATTTGCTTCCTAATTTTATGCATTTTACACACACACACACACACACACACACAAAGGCATTATGGGATAAACACCTATCTTTCTGAGTCATTGTGCTAAGTCTTTACAGATAATGTTTCCTTGATTAATAAACAAATGTTCTAAAGAGACAAGTCCCAAATTTTATGCTACATAGTAAGAGCATGTCTTGAAAATTGAAAGACTATGTTACCAAAAATAAAATGGTTCTAGTGTCAGCATGAATACCACACCTCTAAAGTAACATAGGAATTCTCAGTTTATAGTGACACATAAATTAACAGCAGAAAGATGGATGTTAGTGAAATTATGGAAGGAATACAGGTAAATGTGATTCATCTGCATGCTTCACTGGTGACATCATGACAATGCTGTGAGACTGACATAAGAAGAATTTACATCTTGTTGTTTGTCTCTTTTATATAAGGTACAAATCTGGTCAAACACAACATTAACTCACAAATTAAATTCAGGCTATCTTTATAGACTTTTGACCCCTATTGATTTGCATGATTGTTTTCCTTATTGCTTGTATGTTTTGTTTTCCATTTTTGAAAGATTTGTTGTTGCTATTTTGTTTTTATCTGTTTGTGTGTATGTGCAAGTTTCTTCTTTTTAGTCCTTGTTCCTGAAAAAGAAAAAGAAAAACATAAATTTGGATGGGAAGGGAGATGGGTAGAGTCTTGGAGGGGCTGGAAGAGAGGAAAACATGATCAAAATATATTGTGTGATTTTTCTATAAGGAAATATATTCATATAATATCAAACTCACAACTTTGTCGTATCTGATTTTCTGAATATCTCTTTTTTTAATATTATAACTAGCTTCCAAGATGAAACCCTATATATGCCTCAAAAACTATCATCCAGGTATTTTTTAATTAATAAGTGTGTGCATGGTATGTGTGCATTGTGTATATTTGTGTGTACATGCATGCTGTATGTATGCATATGCATGTGTGTATGTTCCTGGTGTGTGTGTGTGTGTCTGTGTTTATGCAGAGTGTGTCTTTGTGTTTGTGTGTATGTGGATAGTATGTGTGTTATTTATTTGTGTGTGTGCATCATGCGTTTGTGCATCCTGTGTGTATACATGGTGTGTATATGTATGCATTATATGTGTGTGTGCATTGTATGTTTGTGTGCATTTTGTATGTTTGTATGAGTGTGTTTCTGAATAGTATCTGTGTGCTTGCATGAAATATGTGTGTGTATGTGTAGTATGTGTGTGTGTGCATTGCGTGTGTATTCATGTGTGTTTTTGTGCATGGTGGCATGATGTGTGTGTATATGTATGCATGGTATGTGGGAATGTGTATGTGCATATTTGCATGAAGTGTGTGAAGTGTGTGAAGTGTGTGTGTGTGTCTGTGTGTGTGTGCAGACACATGCTTACATGCAATGTATTGTGAATGTGGGAGTCATAGGATGGGGATTGGTTGTTTTCTTCCAGGCACCCTGGGGAAGGAACTCA